CGCGNGTGGACTCCCGTGCGTTAGGGAGATATGAAATGGTACCAAAACGTACGTTCGTTATTGACACCCTGGCGGGTGTGACAAAGCGTGCAAATGCATGGATCTGGTGTCTAAAATCGTAGGGCCTAAATGATTTTTGTGCAAAGTTTCAGGTCCATCCGCGCCGCGACGGTGCATGGGAAAGCGCGGAAGTGAGGGGAGCGTCTGACTGACGCTCATACAAGAAATTAATAAAAAAAACAAATTCGGGATCCAAGAACTGACTCGCGCTACGCGCTAGAGGTGAAAACACGTTGCCGGTCAAATCGTCGAAAACGACCGATCAACGGCTTAAATTTCGACCCGGGGACACCGCTCGGGAGCTTTTTCACTGGCTCAGCGAGATAGCGCAACTGGCCTATGTTGTTATTTTTCCTCGCGCGGTGAGTCGCATCCCCAGTCCAACTCGCGCGTCCGTTCCACCATTACCTGGCTCCCCGCCCGGATAAACCCTCTCCGAAATGACCGAGGTCGATATCTCGAGACAGCACGTGATTCACGTCGCGGTAGAGTACCAGAGGCGCGGTACACCGCACGTGCACATGCTCATCACGAGCAGCGAGATCGTCGCCAACAGAATCGCGAACGGCGCGGACGTGCCGGAGGCTGTCGCGTCCGCGGCGGCCTAATATCGAAGAAACTCAGCGAAAAGGAACCCAGGGACGAGTCCTGTGGTTCTAAGCCACGGTCAACAGCACTTAGAGCACACGTCGGACGGAGGACGATGTCAAACCGGGAGCGAAAGGGAGGGGAGGGACAAGAAGTTGTCTATTTTGTCACCTGTCGCGTCGGCGTGTACAGTACTACGTGTACGAGTTATTACAGACCAAATACTCAACATTGTGCAAGTCGGATACGAGTAGAAACTTTTCAGACTAAATACTCACATACCGAGACGAAGTCTCGCCGGGCACTTCTTGTCAAAAAAACGCTATCGCTCGCGTCGCTTCTTCCGTCCCGCGCTCGTCGAGTCTCCTCGCGCCTCGTCGCTGACCCTCTCGTCGCTCCGTCGGCCTGGGCCTCGGCGGCATCGGCGGCGGCGGCGAGCTCGGTGGCATCGGCGGCGGCACTGGCGGCGGCATCGGCGGCGGCACCGGCGGCGGTACCGGCGGTCCCGGCGGCGGCCGAACGCGCTCCCCCGTGAACCCGTGCTGCTTCCCGTGCCGGTAAATCTCCAACAGTTTCGCTTGGAACGCCCCGGGTATCTCGTTCAGGTCCAAGTACTTCTCGTACAGCCTGATCGCGACCCGCGCGTCTTCTATTGAGTCGTGCGTCGTTGCCTGAATGTCCAAGTCCAGAAGCACGCTCGCGAGAAACCTCAGCGAGAGCTTTCGCTGCCGCTTGAAGTGGAACAGCTCCACGGTGTCGACGATCTGCGCGGGCGGGACCGTGATGTTGATCATCTTGAAGTCTTGTTTCAGCCCGTGCCCGACGAACACGCACCCGACGTCGACGAGGTACCTGAGCTTCAAGTACGCGTGCTTCAGCTTCGTGATGTGGTGCCCGGACGTGTTCGGGTCCAGATCCCCCGGGATGAGACCGCTGAACCTCGTGAGGTAGTCGTGCACGGGCTCAACCGCGCGGATGTAATCGTCGATTATCGGCACGAGACGCCTCTCAATCGCGGCGTCGCCTCGGACGACGCTGACGCGCGCGAGGCCCAGACGCGCGGCCTGGACGACGACCTCGTTCCCGCACGCGTCGAGCGACGTCACCGCGGGCGCGAGCGCGACGAACTCCGCGTCGATGCCGAGCAGCGTCCTGATGAGTGGATTCGAGTGGCGACGTTTCATCATCGGCCAGTTGAAAGGCCGAGCGTTGAAACCGAGTGCAGGGAGAAGAGAAACGAGAAGGGAAGTCCTTAAGAAACGACGTTCGACGCGCGAACGTGGTCGTACGGGACGTAGTCTCACCCGGGCCTAGGGGTCTCTGCCGGGGATTCGAAATCGAACGGCGTGAACGGGCATCGCCGCGGCAAGTTCGCGTCCAGCGTGAGACGTCGGTAGACGTCCTCGGTGATCGGGCTCGGTGGCAGCGGCGGCGGCGGCGGCGCGTCCACGCGCGAGTACGCCGCGATGCACGGAATTTTCGCGACGCCGTACATTCGCGTCACCTCGTCCGCGCGCACGGGGGTGATGCAGAAGTCGTTGAACAAGAGCCAGTCCGTGTCCGCGACTCCGTCGGGGGAGACGCGGACGCCTTCTCCGGCGTTCGCGCCTTGTCCTTCGCTGCCCCACGAACTGTATGGAGGATATAACGACGCGTCGGCTGTGTCAGAGGATTCGATCTCCGACACTTTCGAGGGCGTGACGCCGGCGAACCCGGAGTGCTCGCCGTACATTGCCTCGCCCGCGGCGAGCGCGGCGGCGAACTGCGCGGCTTTCACGCGCGCGTTCGCCGCATCCTCGGCTTCGATCTCTTCGCGCACCGCGCTTCCGGCGTCCGCGTCCGCCGGGGTGATCTCCGACGCCGTCTCGGTCGACCCGCCCTCCGCGCCGTCGTCGTCGCCGGAGACGCGCAGCTCGGACACGCGCGCGGCGGCAGCAGCGGCGTCCGCGCGCGCTTTCGCCGCCGCGCCCGTCTGTCCGATGACCAACGGGCTCACCCCCGGAGACTTCCCCTCGCCGACGACGGACGCGCCGCCAAACGCGCCTCTCTCCGCGATGTACGGCGGCTTGACCTTGACGAACGACATCAGGTGCCCTCGGAGAATTTTCGCCCCGGTCTCGTCGACGCCGCCGCCAGGCGCGTCGTCGTCCTCCTCCTCGCACGGGCGTCGCGCGAGGCACACCAACCCCGTGAGCTCGTACCGCGCGTGCTCGCTTGCGCCGTCGTCGTCGTCGCCGTCGCCGTCGTCGTCGCATTCGAACGCCTCCGTCGACGATTCCGTCACGCACACGTTCTCCCCCGCCACCTTCACCGAGAAGAACTTCGGCAGCCAACTCGTCTCGACAGCCTCGGATGATTCGCGCGAATCGGGAGGGGCGTCCACGTCCACGCCCCACCATCTCAAGTCCCCGACGTCGCGCATGCCGAGACTCACGCTCATGACCGCCGGGAGCGAGACCGGGGTTTTTTTCTGCGTCATTCGCGTGTACGCGTCGTGGCCGTCGCACCACGCCCTGAGGGTAATTCCAGGGTGGTTCGAAAAATGTTTGTCAGCTCGGTCAATTGAACATTGAATAAATGCGTCACGATCAAACGAGGAAAATAATGAAGACGTGGGTGAGTGGGTTACAAACCCAGTGTATAGAACGCACCTGACCTCCCCGCGCGTCGCCAACGACTTCGCGAGCAGCGCGGAAAACGCGTGCAGGTCGTCGGCGGTTTTAGGATTCGCGTTGGTATTCGCGTTCAGCCGCCGCGCCGCCGCGCCGCCCTTGTGCGCCTCTTTCGGCGGATACGCGAGGTCGGTCTGAAACGACCGCGTCATCTTCGTCTCCTCGCGGCCGCACACCGCACACGAGTTTTTCGTCGACGACGACACCGCAAAGAGATCCTCAACGGGCGCGCACAACGCGGGCACCTCGTCTTCGTCGACGTCGTTCGAATTCGAATTCGAACGCGACGCTCTCGGACGCGGGGTTTTCTGTTTCGTTCTCTCCTCGCCGAGGCGAACCGGGCGGTCGTCACCGCCGCCTTGTTCCTTGTGCAGCTGCTCGAGAATAAACCGCTGGAACGCTTGAATCCGCCGAGGGAGGCTCTGATCGAGCCTCGCCTCGAGCTCGTTTCCTCCGCCTTCGATGAGACCGAGCGCCGCGGCTTCGCGGACTTGACGCAACGTGCGAAGAAAGTTCAACGGCTCAACCTTCATCGAAGCGGAGCTGTGCGAGCCGCCGCCGCGCGTCGGCGGCTGCGACAGCGTGTGCGACAAAAACGCGAGCTCGCACGTCAGACAAAACTCTCGTTCGCACGCGTGACCCATGAGCACGCTCGCGCGCAGACCCGGGACGAAGTGCAGGATCTGTAACACCGGATTCACGTAGCAGTTCGCGAGGTCGTTCCCCATGCCTAACAGCGCCGTGCGGTTGTGCGCGGCGAAGTCGAACTCTTCGAACCTCGCTCGCGTCGGGTCCAAAATCGCCTCGACCTTGTGATAGAGCTTTGGAAGCGGGCACGTGGACGCGCGAGCGCGCTCGCCGCCGACTCCGCCGCCGAATCCGTTCGAAGAAGATAATGCAGAAGTCTTCGTGACTTCCGTTTTAAACTTGATCACCTCGCGTTTCCGCTGCAGTTGCATCGCCGCGCGGTTCGCTTCGCCTTTCGCGCGGCCGCGGCGGTAGTACGGATTCGGCGCGTATCCCACCATCGGCTCGTTCCCGCCGCCTTGCCATGTCACGTTATCCAAGACGCTCTTCGGGATGATGTGCGGTGGCAGCCCGGTTTTGATCACCTCCCCGTGCGTCAGCTCCGACAGCGGCGGCGTCGTCGCGTCGTGCGGCATGTGCCACGGCGGCGGCGGGATCGTTTTGTGCTCCTCCTTCTCGACGTTTATCTCCCCCGCGTCGTGACGATCCACGCACGCCGCGCGAAACGGCGGCACCTCCGTGTGAACGCTGTACACGTTCACCGTCGGCGACGCGTTCACCCCCCAGAGGTGGACGTACCCGGCGTCGTCCGCGAAAGCGACGGATTCGCCTGAGGACGACACGGCCATCCCGCCCGGACCGGGGACGACGCCGTATCCATCTGCGAGTTGCAGGTGGTAATTCGCGAACCCGCCGCCGCCTTGCGTCGCGGCGTCGACCGCCTGGACGACCCCCCCGTGCGAGCACACGATCACCACGGAGGTGTACTTTGGGTTAAACGCCACGCACGATGGCCCAGCTAGGAACTGCATCACGTTCATCGTCCTCGCGCCCATGCGCACGTCGATCACTTTGAGAAACGGATCGGGAACCTCGAGACGCGTGACGCGGTCGATCGCGTACCTGATCGGATCGGTCGGTCGGTTGGTTTTCATCGGTCAGTTGACTACGATGAAAGGGAAGCGCGAGGTGAAGAGAATGTCCTCAAGAAACGACGTGATTAAACATGCGAAGAGAGGAGGGCAAACGTATGGGGAGGAGTCTCGGGGCGGGACGCGCCCGCAGGTGACTAACAAGTCGCCCCTGGCCGCGATCGCGGTCACGCCCGCCTGGTGCGCGGGCGAGGACTGCTGCACCGTCGCGCGCATTTTATTCCTAGGGTCTCTCAGGCACACGACGCCAAAGTAGCCCCCGCATGCGATCGTCCCTCGCGGCGCGCAAAAAAT